GCACTTTAGCTTCGTCGCGAGTCTCGGTAACATTCGGCATTCGCGAGAAAGGGGTTTAGGAAGGCGAACACGGATTGGTTGTGATTTGCATTGGCCGATATAGCGACCAATCACAACAAGTAAGACATCATACACGTCCAATTGCAGGGCTGTTTACAATCGGAAGATGGAAAGACTGATCGGGTGAGCTCGTGAAAACTCGACGATAAGGTACCTGACCCCCCCTAAAATTTTCTCAACGGATTTAGATGATTCACAAAAATGATCAATTTAAGAAATAAAACGGCGGATTTCCGCGTAGCCGCGGAAAATTGCCATCCATGTGGAAAATTGTCCGTTAATGTAACCTCTTCAGAAACAGAAATATAATCGATGTAAATGTTTATCCAGTCTTGTTTAACTTAGATTTTGTTCCAAAAGACAGGCTTTGTTATCAGCAATCACCCCTCCTCCTCCCGAGTCCTCCCAAATAAAATATGAAATCACGGGTTTGCTTCGGGCTCGGGCCTGCAAATCAAGTTAAGTGATTGGGCTCACGCACCCTTTGTGGCTCCCGTTCTCGCCAAAATTTCAAAATCTCAGAGAAAGGCAAGGCCATGAGAATGCGAGACGAGGATATTATTACTGTTGTGGCGACACCACCCGAGCTTGTCCGCTGCTCTCTGCTGTGCGTGCGTCAGCGCGAACATTTATGCAAGCGCGTCTTTTGATTTCAACCAATCAGCGCTGACGCAACGACGTCACACACCCGACGTCACACACGACAACAGCTAAACTAAGTTAGCCGAGATGCCACTCGAAGTCGGACGGACACGTTTTTCTGCCAATCTGTGTGTTTCCCTTTTTGTCCAAATAAATTTTTTACGACAACTGTGTTGTCCACGGTGTCTTTTGTTCGTTCCACTGGAATTTAGCAAGTGTGTTTATAAAGAGACGGAAATCTCTTTACTGTTACTAGTGTTAGTGTTTCAACACGGCTACGTTCGTGAAAGCAAAACAACAAACTCAAACGCGTCTTCGTTCAATGTTGTCAACTAATATCCGGATTAATTTTCGGCAAATTTTCCTCAATTCTCCGGACAGATTTTCATAAAAATTTGAAAAACCCGGAATTCCGGGAAAATCCGGAGGACTTTCATCTCTGATATAAGATCAGAAGTTTTGAGAACGATGAGGATTTTCTCATGAATTCTGGACAAGTGGTGGATGGACACCATGTCACAAGTCAACAAGAAGGAGGGGTGATGTTTTGGATGGTAATATACTGAACATTAAATATCTTGTCTTTGGAGTGTATTCGGTTAAATAGGGTGAACATGATCCACAGTGTATCCCATTAAATATAGTTTGAACATGATTTTGCAAATAATTGTATTCTGTTTTTTTAGTTTATGTTTGTATATGTTTAACACAATGTCCCAAATTCACTGTGCAATAAGGAAAAAATGGTTGGTGTAAACTAGTGTAAATACACATCTCAAGTTCAGAAAATGTGTGACTGCAAAGGGGGGAAAAAAAGCTAAACTGAGCAATGAAACTTGTTCTTGACATTGGCCATTTCTCAATATCAAGAAAGCAGAGTACGGTCTCATGAACTCGCCAAGTACAGTCTTCCTAATCATGTACTCCACTTGATTTTATTTTTACTGTTTTTGTGCTTTCTACTGTCTTTGTTATTAATGTCTTGTTTTATTGTTTGTTATTGTATATATGATCCTTGCTCCATGTACAACACTTTGCATACAGCAGTGGTTGTTTTAAAGTGCTCTATAAACACAGTTGAGTTGAGATTGAATTTGACCTTGAGTAACATGAAAGGATCATAAGAAAATCTATTAAAAACATTTATTTCAGTGTGAATGAAGACTTACGGTTGTCAAAGCAAATGCGACCAATTGCTCTGCCAGTATTGAGCAGCATCTCTGGCTCACTACTGTCCAGATGAGGGACCAGCACCTTCACTAAGCCTGCCTCTATACACAAGCCCCTCACTGCACCTAAAAGACAAAAAGATCAAAAATTTACCCTCAAATTCTATAACCACCTCCAAAGACATGTTTTAAGTTGCACTTGTCATTGTTGGAGTTTCATGCACATGTTATTCATTGAATGCAGTTAAAATTTAAACTTTGTCCTACCTTCTCGGGCTATTTCAGCCACCAACAAAGCAATCTGACAGCTCAGGCTGGTTTTATTTTGTAAAGCCTGAGCAAGTATAGGTAGAATCCCACTTTTGGCAATCTGAACAGCAACGTCTTTCTCTGTAGAAATGTGAAGAGAATAGTACACAATGTTAAAAATCAAGAAAACTTGTAACTGTTTTTTGAATATATGCTAATCTGCTTCCTCCACACTAGAGGTGATTGCTCAAAACGCCTCTACATACCAAGCCGATCTCGGGCATTATGGTCGACTGCTGCGTCGGCCTCGACAAAATGTGATGGCAGTACACACAGCAACAAGCCGACTACAATGCCAACATCTGAGATTTCAACCTGAAAGCTTGGCACCTGTGACGAAGTCATAACAAAGTAGGTTGGCTTCATTTTCACTCACGCTACCATAGAATGATGTTTATAGCAAAGGTGTGGTTGACACTGTGTCAGGGAATTCACCCGAACATCTTGAACTTTGAATGAGAAGACTCGACTCAACTCAGGAACAGATTGTCTTTTGCTGATCAGCAAAGGGGGCGAAGTTCCTCGAAGGCAACACAAGTCGTCTTTCCTCTCAGATCGAAACCCCACCTTCGCACCCCCGCTGACCACTTTTTATTCACAGGATATGCAAAATACAAGTATATCAGAAAAACATTCCTCCTCATTTGCATGTCGCGCTTCTCAGTCCAACCCACCAACATGCCCCTCAGTGGACACCTGGAGGCCAAAACATCTTCCGGTGCAAACAATGGATACCTTGTTAATACGTTGGGTAGATTTCACATGAATTGAGACACTGTAACAAACAGGAGGACATCTGATCATGCTGCCCTCCCGAAGTTGGACCTTCCTGCCTGTCTTATCAGTTAATGAGGCCCTGGCATCCTTCAGCTCAAGTTGACCCTTTTTTCTGTGTGCTCCACTGTGTACAAATTGTGAGAATATAGCATTCGAGGTCAACCAAGCATATACTGAAATGAAACTTGGAAACATGATAATATTAAGTTTGTCTTTCTCCATCACACTGACTCTGTCAGCCTATCGCCACTTGCTTGCGGATGAAATACCAAGGCAGTGGCGGTGCCAGAACACTCAGAACCTTTGAGCTCCGGGGGGTTATGTCTACTGATGTGATGCTCACTCATGCTGCGCTTCTCTTTGCAAATGGTAAGTAAAATGATGGATAAACACAGAGAATTAGAAGCATCTGCATCGTGAATTTGTTAAAAGCAGTTGAGATGTTTTTGAATATGAAAATGGGGGGGAAAAAGTGGAAAGCTTCATGAACCTTTCAATTTTTGAAGGTGATTAGCAACGATTCATCCCTGTAGAGCAATGTATTTGTTTTTGAAAGATGTAGCTGAAGCCATAAAAAAGTTATTTGCCCCATTTTAAAATGTAAATATTCTTGCATAGATTCCCCACTTTGTTTAAAATTATCAAACAAGTGTAAAGATCAGACAAAGATAACCTAAGTAAACATAAAATGCTCCAAGCCCCCTCACAGAGGGCAATATAGGTTTATTTTTTTCCTCCGTTACTAAATAAATAAATAAATATATACATACATTCTTCCATCCAGGTGGCCATGTCGTCAATATTCTTGCAACGAAATGTAAATAAAGTAGAAAATGTGCAACAACTGTATGTGCCTTTTGACATTTTTCTTCGCTGTTTGCCTTCCTCACTTCCGCTCTCATTTCATGCAAAGATTCGCTAGCTAAAGGCCAGTCAGAGTGATCGTTTGTCACAATGGCCCGACCTGATCCAACATGATGAATCAGCCAAACGGCCACTAGCAACAGCTCCGACTTAACAACGGTGCGTTCTCCACCGGCATATACCGATGGCCAACGAGTGGTGTGTGGAGGACTTGAGACTGCAAGGGAAGCTCACTTAAAGCCCCACCCCCGCAAAAAAAAATAACAATATGTTCTGCTGTGTGTACATTTCATTGACTAAATGTGTGCTAGAACACCTTCATCTTTTGATCAGAATCAGCTACTTATCAAAGGTAAGTGACAAGATTTCCTTCTTATTCATGCCCTCTTTTACATCGTCGCTGAGTTGGTTGTTCCTCTGCGCAAAACTCGACAATCATTGAAAAAAGCTGGGCATTATCCTGCCGATCGGATGCACAGCATATCTGGAGATCTATGGGGTAGTGGGGTGGCCAGGACGGTTGGTTCTGCTTGATGATTGGATGATCTGTCTGAGTCAGGAACACGGTCAAGTTTAGAGTTTGGTGGAAGTCAGTGGGTGTCAAATCCTGAAGAACATCTGTGTTCCCACAAAGCAGAGCCAAGGTGCACTACATTATCAACCCCCACTAACACCCAAGCATCCATCCATCCATCCATTTTCTGATCCGCTTATCCTCACAAGGGTTGCAGGGCACCACCTGTGAGAGGGGCTAAAGGGGTCGTGTGCCATCTAAGGTGGGCGTCGGTGAAAGGCAGGGACCTTGGCAGTATGATCCCTAGCTATATAAATTACCGGTAGCTCTAGAGACATGGAAGGTCACCTCTATGGCAAGTAAGGAGGCTGAGCTGGTGTGTGAGGCGGAAAAGTTCAGACTAGATATAGTCCGGCTCGCCTCGACACACACCTTAGGCTCTGGTATCAGTTCTCTTGAGAGAGGTTGGACATTCTTCCACTCTGGAGTTGCCCATGGTGAAAGGCGCTGAGCAGGTGTGGGTATACTTATTGAGCCCCGGCTTGGTGCCTGTACATTCGGGTTCACCATGGTGGACAAAAGAGTAGCCTCCCTCAGCCTTCAGGTGGGGGGACTGGTTCTGAGTGTTGTTTGTGCCTATGCACCAAACAGTTCAAAGTACCCATCCTTTTTGTAGTCCTTAGGCTTAGGGGATGTGCTCAGGAGCATGATAACATCCCAGCAGAGCTGTCAACTGATCACCACCTGGTCATGGGTTGGCTCCGATGGTAGGGGAAGATGACTATCAAATGTGGCAGACCCAAACATATTGTGATGGTTTGCTGGGAACGTCCGGCAGAATCACTGGTCAGAAGGAGTTTCAACTCCCACCTCCGGCAGAGCTTTACCCTAGTCCCGGGAGAGGCGGGGGACTTTAGAGGTGTTCACACGGCAACATTTGCTGCAGTGCAGCGCCGGGGCTGCCCCAGTAGAGCGTTCACACGTGCAAAGTTACACCGGTGTAGCCCCTGAAAACAGCTTAAACCGGAGCAAATTTAACCCTGCTCAAGGAGGTGGTTTAAAAATTTGCTCCGGAGCAAATGCTCGTTTGCGGGGCAGCACCGATGTAAAATGGTAAGTGTGAACGCTACAAGGTTAAAAATTTGCTCCTGAGCAAATACTCGTTTGCGGGGGGAGTAGCCTCGCTGCGCATGAGAAGAGTTGATTACATATGGCTAGAATGTGTTGCTTTCGTGCTCTGTTGTACTTCCGTCACCTTTCCTTTTGTAGGAGACTGGACTGTCTCGGAGTTGTTTGTGTAGTTTGTTCCTCTGTTGTGTGTTCACAGCCCCCACCCCCCATAGTAATTATTTTGTGATTTCCTCTCTTGATTTTCTGTTTGGCGCATTGTTTGCTTTTCTGAGTGTCATTGAAGTCATCGTTGATTTACGTTTTCGGGGGCGGTCATTGAACGCCTCTCGAGCAGAAGGCACGGAGACCGAGAGGGAAAAGGACGTGCCTGTACAGTAGTTGCTTGAGTTGTGTATGTTTTAAAATGAACCAACACGACAGCTCTTTGTTTTCTATCGTTTTGCACCGCTGCAGAAACTGCCGTGTGAACGCAAGTGGGGCTGCACCGGGGTTAACGCGCTTTTCTTTAGTCAGCGGCTTTGTACTTGTGAACGCTCCACAAAATTTGCTTCGGTGTAAGATATATTGCAACAAAATACATCGGTGCAGCACCGAAGCAAATGTGTGCCGTGTGAACACCCCTATTGAGTCTGAGTAGACCATGTTCCCTGCCTCCATTGTTGAGGCAGCTGGTCGGCATTGTGGCCATAAGGTCGTCGGTGCCTGTGGTGGCGGGAAGTCCCGAACCTGCTGTCAAGCTGAAGAGTCCCATCAGGTCGTTTTGGCCTGTGGGACTCCGGAAGCAGCTGATAGATACCGGCTGGCCAAGCGGAATGCAGCTTCGGTGGTCGCTGAGGCAAAAATTCAGGCGTGGGAATAGTTCAGCGAGGCCATGGAAAATTACTTTCTGGTCCACCATCCAGCACCATCAGGAGAGGGGAGCAGTGCACCATTAAAACTGTGAATAGTGGGGATGCTGACCTCGACTCGAGACGTTGTGAATCGTGGGGGAGAATACTTCAAAGATCTCCTCAATTCCACCGACACGCCTTCAAAAGGTCAAGGACATACGCAAGAATGCCCAACATGGCGCAGAGCGATCTGCCAAATTTGGAAACAAGCGCAGCTAGCCTTGCAACAGCGGAAATGCGAGGCACTGATCGGTAACTGGTGTGGCACATAATAGCATCACAGAATGGCAGAGCACATTTTTGGAACTAATCCCCGATGAAAGAGAACCCTCCCAGCGGCCGGAGTTATGGTGTGACCGTGTCATCCAGCTAGTATCCGGGGTCTTGGCCTGAGGCTCTAAGCTCAGCGCACTCATCCACATTCAGGCACATTAGTCTAAGGGTGTCTTCGCTGACTGCATGAAACGTTGACTTGGGTCTGAGGCTAAGACGGACAGATTCATTCTATTTCCATTCATCTTTTATGGGAAAAAATTGCCTTGGTTCATGACCGTTTCAATTCTGAGTCGCGGACTGAATTAGTTTCTTGAACTCAAGTTCCAATGTGTATGGCTTTTGTGTTACTTAACTTACGCTTTCCTAACTGTGCAGACAGAATTATGTCCAAATGAGGTTTCAGCTCCTCTTCAATGAGTTCTGTGCTCACACTGAGAGCCTGGAGTGCATCAGTCAGAGAATCTATAAAACACAATCACAAACAAAGAGCAACAATACAAGTCAAGAAAGCATAAATATTATATAAACAACAACAGAACAAATTGAAGTTTTTGTGGCACCATTGATGTTATTAGTCACAGTAGTAAATGGGCAAGCGCAATGACACAACTGTTATGTGGCATGTCTTATGGCAAGCTAATGTAACAAATAAAACTAAAATACAAAGAGGCAAAAACAGGGGAACAAAAATTGCGACCAAACAGCTCGGAAAAAGTATCAAAGGCTAACTAAATCAGATAAGTAAAACAAATTTACAAAGTACAAAAAAATAACAGAATACATCAAGTGCTCCAAAAAGTATGACTATACATTACAAAGTACAAACAAATAGCAACCAATCAAGAAGGAAGTAAATACATTTGTGATGTTACGAGATGTGTCGAGGCTTCGAAGCATGTACTGATGAATGAAGGGGGTGTTTCTGCAAAGCGTGTATCAAGGCTTGCTTCATTTAGGAGAGGAGCTGAAAACAATGACGTTCGAATCCTCGCAAGTTGGTGCACCACGGCTTCAGGGTCTTAATGCTTGCTACTTGACTGGGCAAACAGAAAACAACATTTTATAAATTAGCAATCTAGACACCCGCTATTCATGGGGGATAAGGAGCGGGGCAGCCGCGAATAAAGAAAATCTGCCTCAAAAAAATCTTCAAAAAAAAACAAACACTCATATGATACCCTTCCCACAAAAAAACAGGGAAATGAGGAGCGGGGCAGCCGCGAATAAAGAAAATCTGCCTAAAAAAAAAAATCTTCAAAAAAAAAAAAACACTCATATGATACCTTTCCCACAAAAAAACAGGGAAATTAGGGGAACCCCGACCCAAAAAACAAAGTATTTTTTTAAATACTGAAAAAAAATGTTTTAATCCGCAAATATGCTCATCCATAAGAATGCAGAGGACCACTCCTTTTATTGTTAAAAACAAAAATAAACCTCCAAGCCCAAGTTTCGATTAATCAAACGTAATAGTCGCTCATTTCCGGGAAGTGGCAGTTGAGGGCATTATGCAGTAGCTGACCACTACAAAACAACAATTACAAAAAGTTGAAGCACAGAACGAAAAAAAAAAAAAAACAGATTTAGCTCAGTTACAACATAATTTTTGGATGCAGGGTCATAACATTTTGAACATGGCTAAATTGCTGGGAATGAACCAGTGCATATTTTAATTAGAATTATTTTGTTGTTATTCTGATAATTATTCGATGTTGTGTTGAAATTTTGATATTTACATTTTATACTGGCGACCCAGTGGTCGAGTGGTTAGCGCGTCGACCTCACAATGCAGAGGTCGTGGGTTCGATCCCAGCTCCGACCTTCCTGTGTGGAGTTTATATTAATCTTCCGGTGCCTGTGTGGGCTTTCCATGGGTACTCCGGTTTCCTCCCACATTCCAAAAACATGCATGGCAGGCTGATTGAACACTCTCAATTGTCCCTAGGTTTGAGTGTGAGTGCAGATGTTTGTTTGTCTCTGTGTGCCCTGCAATTGGCTGGCAACCGGTTCAGGGTGGCCCGAAGACGGCTGGGATAGGCTTATTTTATTTTATTTTATTTTTAAATGTGGATATATTTTTTTCTCCAACACAACCCTCCCATTTTCTAACCACAAGGGTGTCGGGTATCGGGTGTGCTGGAGCCAGTCCCAGCTGTTTTTGGGCAGTAGGCGGGGTACACCCTGAACTGGTCGCCAGCCAATCCCACACATAGACAAACAACACCATTCACACTCAGTCACACCTAGGGACAATTTAGAGTGTTCAGTTTACCTACCATGCATGTTTTTGGGATGTGGAATGGGGGTAAAGCACTGAATGAGTTAATGACTGCAGCTTAGGAAGTTCTCCTACTCACATGGATAAACAAGAGTCCTGCAGACGATAATCACCACAGCTAATCCATTTAAAGTCAAATAAAAATAACCTGGGAAAATGAAGAGCAAAAAGGTGATGCACATTATCTATCTATCTATCGATCGATCTGTCTGTGTATTTATCCGTCTGTCTGTCTGTCTAACTATAGTGTCCAGATCAATAAATAGTTAAATACTCACCGGTGTCTGTCATGGCTGCGATCAGGAGAATATTCTGCTAGCGTCAGTGTCTCTGGCTCCTTGCACTGTTTGTAGTGTGTCCTGGAGAGAGGTCTGTTTTGCAGAGGAGGCACTCAGTGGAATTCAGATGAAACAAGCGTTTCTCTTTGACATTGTTATCTGTCTATTCCTCATCTTCTATTTTGTTCTCCAATCCCATTAATCTCCTCTTCTCACTCCTTCTGCCCTTCCTTCTCCCTCTGTGCTTGCTATTTGGACAATGCGTTCAAGACGGGGGTAGTGTCCCACCAGAGGGCGCTATTTTGATTTCTTTCCAACATACAGTAGTTCCAATTAGAGCTAAGATCGGTCCTAAAAAATCGAGCCCGACCCGAACCAGCCCGAGCCCGATCACTTAGCTTGATTTGCAGGCCCGAGCCCGAAGCAAACCCGACATTTCATATTTTATTTGTGAGGACTCGGGAGGAGGAGGGGTGATTTCTGGTTACAAAGCCTGCCTTTTGTAACGAAATCTAAGTTAAACAAGACTGTATAAACATTTACATCTTTTATATTTCTGTTTCTGAAGAGGTTACATTAACCGACAATTTTCTATCATTGACGGATTTTTTTTAACAGTGGACGGTGAAAATTTAAGGCCGTCCGTCATTTTGACGGGTTGAAAACTGGGCCGTAAATCACCGCAGCAGTACGTCCTTAAGAAATAAGAGCGAGAGAAGCAGAGAGACAAAAAAGAATAATGATGCGTGGATCATAGACAGAGACAGGAAGGAGTTCTTTGAATTGTCATTGCAAGAGTTTAGAACAGTACGTGTTGTGATGAGGCGACTTCTGTGTTTTTGCGAACCACGGTCTCTATACTATTGACGGCCTCGGAAAAAAAAAAAAAAAAGCGAGAGAGAAGCCCGACCCGACCCGAACCCGAGGCAATAATTGACATTTTAAGGGTCGGGTCGGGCTCGGGCTCGGGCGGCCCGGTCTTACCTCTAGTTCCAATACACTTGTACTTGAAGATTGAATCTGTTGTTAAATAAAATAATATCACCTTTATTTGTCCTACACTGGGGAAATATGCATAGTTTCAGTGGCAATGGCAACTATACAGGACATTAAAAAATGCTCTCAAGGAATACACAGTGTGTACATGTTGCATAATATGCTCAAACACAATGAAATAATCCATACTCACATGTACAAAGTGCAGAAGGCAAATATTCCACGGTCTACTTCTTATAAAGCGACCATGAAAACGGGATTTGAATTTTCATCATCAGGGATGGAAATTGACAACACAACACTATTGCTCAAGTGTTTTTTTTTAATTAACACATCTCAATCTCATAACCCTCATGACGCAGCTTTGTTTTCTTTAGTATATACGTATCCACAAACGAGTTGTTTGAATGGTGATGTACATGATAATTGATGATGATTTCATTCTGATTTAAGTTAGAATGTGCTCAGTGTGACATTTTGAGGCCATCGGCATTCTTTCTAATTTTCAGTCAACTAGACAAAAGGCCTGGAGTACTGTAAAACTTTTATGGTTTCCCATCTGGTGTTAGGGAGGGGCCAGCCAGGCAGCCTCCACAAAGCAACATCCACCAGTATTGAGTGTGCCTGCTGGCTCAAATAGTCCTGCATCTTGTGATGACATTTGTCTTATTCAAATGACATTTTAAAGCAACTGACATCGAAATGAATCAAAACGTGAAGCTATGTTCTTCAACGTAACCTTTTTCTTTCCATGTTGTATTTACACTGACATTTTAAGGGATTGTGGGGTGATGGTCAGGGGGGCCGGCGGATTTCACGCTAATGTCTAATGCTCATCTGGTTGGAGCCTTTTAGTGTATGAGAATCAACGTCAGCATATTTAATTGTCTACTGTTAGGGAGGGGCCAGCCAGGCAGCCTCCTCAGCCAGGGTGCTCTGCACCTCACACCTGAGACTCGTCAGCTCATCACCCACCTGTTGCCTATCTGCTCGTTTGGACTGGTACATATTGACTCACAGACCATTCCTCAGTGCAAGTTCGTACCGTCACCACGCCAGTGGACTTTGTTGCCATTTCCTACAGCTGCTTGTTCCTTGTGTGGACAATTCCTTGTGGACTCCTCGTGCTTCCTCCTGAGTGACTTTGCGAAGACTCTTCGAATAAACTACGCCAAGTGTTGGCTTCAACAATACCTGCCTGTTGTCGTGCTCTTGGGGTCACACCCAAACCCTAACATCTGGGCCTAAAAAAAGGCACGGGTAAGTAACATTACTTGGAAAAAAAACTTTTTCATTCAGAAATTCGGAGCAAATTTTACAAGGAGAGTATTTGAGTACATTTTACTTGCATTGTATTAGTTTTATTTGTTTTTTTAAGTCACTCAAGGGTCGAAGAACAAGCCCACAACCTTCAGATTGGGAGACTGCCACTCTACTCTACTACCTGAGCCATGCCGCTACTTTGTGTTGAGTTTGTATATTATATATTGGTATGAAGCAGAATATTTGTACCTCCAAAAGGAAACCAAGTTTTTGGGGTCCCCATATGGAGACACCCGCAAAAGACTAACAGTAGGAGCAGCATGGCACAGGTGGTAATGTGGCCGTCTCCCTCCTGGAAGGCAATGGGTTCCTTCCTCAAATCTTGAGTGGCGCTGGAGCGTCATTGGGATTGACCCCCTAATCAGAGAAAATACACAATGGCTATAATATTCTTCTCAAAACTGTAAAAAGAACACACAAGGTATCTGCCTTAGCTGTGAATAACTTCAGTCTACTGTAATGAAATTAGACTTAATTTGTAAGTACAGTACTTAAAAGAACTGCACTACGCAGGAGTGAGTAGTCTACACTTGCAAATAACATATTCAACCATCGTAAAATTAATAAGATAAGATAAGATAAGAAAACTTTTGTTTGTTTCAGAATGGAGAAATTCGCAATTTCCAGCAGCAACATTTTGAAAGGAAGAATGTAGAAAACAAAGTACATGCATGCACAGAAATACATTTAAAAGTGAACTGTACACATTACAAAATGAAATATAAAAATATAAAATATAAGCATTTATGTTGCAGAAGATGGCTGTGCTATTTAATGTGGGTGAGTGGGGATGAGTCCAGGTTTTCAGGTGCGTCTCTTCAATAGCTTGACAGCAGTCAGCAGTATACAGCATATTGTAAAATAAATGGGATTGAGGAGAGCTGGTTGAAATGCAAAATATAAATCGTAACCCGCTAATAATTAATTGCAAGGCCTGTTACACTTGACATCCTAAACGGGAGTTGAATAGAGATGAGACATTTGATACTGAGTCTCCGAAGCCCTTGTCAGCCGGATAAGACAGATGACTTGCAACAGTGCCTCATGAGTGCAGATCAAATCTCCCTGATCCCGTGCTGATGACGTATGAGGCTTGATGTACGCCAACGAAACACCAGAAATTATGAAACTGATTCAAATATTTGGTGCTGTGTAAAGCTGTCAACTGCCCAAAGGAGACGCCAAATGTTCTATCACATCCCATACGGACCTCCTAACGAAGTGGAAGTGTCTAGGAGAGGTGGCAGGGGAGTTTCTGACTGGGTTGTTCAACAAGATCTTAGATGGTGAGAAAATGCCTGGGGAATGGAGAAGAAGTGTGCTGGTGCCCATTTTTAAGAACAAGGGAGATGTGCAGAGGAATAAAGTTGATGAGCCACAATGAAACTATGGGAAAGAGTAGTTGAAGCTAGACTAAGAGCAGAAGTGAGCATTTGTGAGCGGCAGTATGATTTCATGCCAAAAAAGAGTATGACAGATGCAGTATTTGCTTTTAGGATGTTAATAGAGAAGTACAGAGAAGGTCAGAGAACTGAATTGTGTCTTTGTAGATGTGGAGAAAGCATATGACAGGGTGCCCAGAGAAGAACTGTGGTATTGTATGAGGAAGTCTGGGGTGACAGAGAAGTACTGTATGTTAGAGCAGTGCAGGACATGTATGATGACTGTAAGACAGCGGTGAGGTGTGCTGTAGGTGTGAGTGAGGAATTCAAGGTGGAGGTGGGACTTCACCAGGGGTTAGCTCTGAGCCCCTTCTTATTCGCTATGGTGATGGACAGGCTGACAGACGAGGTTAGACGGGAATCTCCATGGACTATGATGTTTGCAGATGACATTGGCATCTGTAGTGAGAGCAGGGAACAGGTGGAGGAGAAACTAGAGAGGAATGAAGGTCAGTTGCAGCAAGACAGAGTACATGTGTGTGAATGAGAGGGACGCAAGTACAAGAGTGAGGTTACAGGGAGAGGAGATAAAGAAGGTGGATGATTTTAAGTACTTGGGGTCAACTGTCCAGAGCAATAGAGAGTGTGGAAAAGAGGTGAAGAAGCGTGTACAGGCAGGCTGGAACGGCTGGAGAAAAGTGTCAGGTGTGATGTGTGATAGAAGAGTTTAAGCTAAGATGAAAGGAAAGGTGTATAAAACTGCGGTGAGAGCAGCGATGCTGTTTGGACTGGAGACAATGCCACTGAAGAAAAGACAGGAGGCAGAGCTGGAGGTAGCAGAGAGGAAGATGTTGAGGTTCTCTTTGGGAGTGACCAGGTTGGATAGGATCAGGAATGAGTACATCAGAGGGACAACTCATGTTAGAGGTTTTGGAGAGAAAGTCAGAGAGGCCAGACTGAGATGGTTTGGACATGTCCAGAGGAGAGAGAGTGAATATATTGGGAGAAAGGTGCTGAGTCTTGAACTGCCAGGCAGGAGGTCGAGAGGAAGACCAAAGAGGAGGTTTCTGGATGTAGTGAAAGATGACATGAAGGTAGCTGGTGTGAGAGAAGAGGATACACAAAACAGGGTTAGATGGAGAAACTGATTCGCTGTGGCGATCCCTGAAGGGAAAAGCCGAAAGGAAAAGAAGAAGAAGAAGACAGACCTCCTCAGGCAGGGGTGTAAAACTAATTTTTGTTCCGGGCCACATTTTAGTTACCGTTTCCCTTGGAGGGCCGTTATGACTGAAACCATATAAGGAAGTAAAAAATAAAGGCCTATTCAACTAAGATTAAGTTATTGTAATGAGGAGTTTGGTAACATGAAAATGCTTAGAATATCTCTTTTATTTATTACATATGAATTTTAAATTTTGGTACAGATTTTAGCAAGCATCATGGAATGGGACATGCTTGATTTGTTTTCGTGCGCCATATAAATTGATGTGGTGGGCGAGATCTGCCCCCCCCAAACCTGGAGTTTGGCACCTGTGCCCTTAGGTGACATGGAAGAAAAAAAAAATTTGGTTATCTCGTAATGCTTGCTATGTCACCAGAGAGGATCTATATTCTCGTGTCCTCGCTTGACAGAAAACTGATTTGTTGATTTATGTTGAAATCTTCTCATCTTACTTCATAGCACACTTGTGTCATATCCAAATCATGTTTATTATAGTCCAATGGGTAACTGGACTTGACATTGAACCATACTACTGGTACAGTGTCAAATGTTGCAACACTTACGTATGTACATGATGATCATTAGACAGACACAAGACAAGTGTAAAACTGAATGGATTAGTATTATGTTGGAATACTAATCACTTTGAGGATTGTGCTGGCATGACCCTAGCTGACCAACAGACATCACCAGGGTGGTCAACCTGATAAGGCTTTGACTCTTTTTCTAGATCAATACGGCGAAAGGGGCCGCCAGGTGGTCGACTGGTTTGTGAGTCGGCCTCACGGTGCAGAGGTGTAGGGTTCGATTCCTGTGTGGAGTTTGCATTCCTTTACTTAATTGTCAGCGTGTTTGTGTGTACTTGAATCAAGACATGAACTGCTAATTTGGAAAGTCGGCCTTACAGTGCAGAGGTGCAGGGTTCGATTCTGGCTCCGGCCTTCCTGTGTGGAGTTGGCATGTTCTACCCGTGCCTGTGTGGGTGTGAGCGCGGATGGTTGTTTGTCTCTGTGTGCACTGCGATTGACTCGCAACCGGTTCAGGGTGTCCCCCACCTACTGCCCGAAGTCAGCTGGGAGAGGCTCCAGCACTCCCCGCGACCCTTGTGAGGATAAGGGGATCAGAGAATGGATGGATGGATGTTTAGACAATGCGTTTACATACACTTGAGTAATGCGATAATCAGAAAAACCTGGTTTACATGATTTGGTCAATAGTTTGATTTGTTCCCAAATACATGACGTAAAAACCGGCACATTGATTGCGCTATGAAAATTAAATGAAATGTTACGAGACAAAGTTGTTTTATATGCAATGACTATGCCGACATTAGCAGACGTGTGCACATTGCAGCATGACGTCTTTGATCCACTGGTGAAAAGGACACTTAGATTCGCTCCTCTTTCATCTATAACTGCTTCAGACAACAAAGTGTATGCAGGAAAGTGGTTAAGATTGCACAATTGTCTGTGTCTCATGTGTTGTTTTGTATTATTTTGTCATTTTTTTGTTAACTTTTCTTTTGATAGCGGCGCGGACACCCGCAGCGGCTCCTCTTGTTTTATGTTGAGAGGGAAGAAATTTCATCTTTGCTGTATGTTCCATGTTACACATACAGTACATTTGACAATACAGTTTTATCCAATCCAATCCAATCCAACATGCTAACATAATTAATTTAGAATGTCCTATGGTTCAAAATATATTTAATTGTCGAATCCTTGGATATTTTGTCTTGTATTTCTGAATGCAGGATCAATGCTTCAATATGTTCAAGGAGGAACTCAAGGCCGAGTGAAAGTTTCAGATGATTAACCATCCACCATCAGGAGCAAAGATCAGCCATCAACCTTTGATTCTCTCCTCTTTCATTTAGAACTGCTTCAAACAACAAAGTGTATGCAGGAAAAAATGGTAAAGACTGCTTCACTGTGAATGTTTTATTTTATGTGTTGTGTTATATTATTTTGTTATTCTATGATAACGGTTTTGTAAAGTGCTGTGTTACAGCTGCAGCTGTTGTGAAAGCGTTTATGCGCAGGGCACCAAAATTACGAGCACCGGCATGGTTACTACCATCAAATATTAAATGTTATTCACTTTGAGTTTATACAATGATGTCGGGCGGCCCGGTAGTCCAGTGGTTAGCACGTCGACTTCGCAGTGCAGAGGTACCAGGTTCAATTCCAGCTCCAGCCTCCCTGTGTGGAGTTTGCATGTTCTCCCTGGTTGCCTGCGTGGGTTTTCTCCAGGTACTCCGGTTTCCTCCCACGTTCCAAAAACATGCATGGCAGGCTGATTGAACACGCTAAATTGTCCCTAGGTGTGAGTGTGAGGCGCATGGTTGTTCGTCTCTGTGTGCCCTGCGATTGGCTGGCAACCGGTTCAGGGTGTCCCCCGCCTACTGCCCAAAGACGGCTGGGATAGGCTCCAGCACCCCCGTGACCCTAGTGAGGATTAAGCGGTTCGGAAGATGACAATAATGTCGGTCCCAATACATTTGCTCACTTGAAACGTGCTCTGTCTTGAGTTGTTTAATACAACTAGATGTGAATATTATGACAAAAAAGCTGGACTTCTGAACTTCTGTCTCATATTATTTTGATCTGAAACCCAAATGCAGTATACTGTACAAGAAAGACAAAGGAATTGATCTTGTCGTTCCAATAACTTTGGTTGGAACTGTACAGTATCCTATTCTGTACGGTCGAGTCGACGACACGCCGTGGTACTGCGCCCTGCAACTCCACTCTGGCACGTGCTGTGGAACAAGGAATCGCGAGAAGGCGCAACAAAAAAATCGGCCAGAGGATGGCGGCGATACTGTACGCGGTAGTGTCTTGCCTGGCAGCATTTAGTAGAAAAAGATAGCTCGTGTTGACAACACGGACGTATATATATGAGGGACGCACACTTGGACTCTCGCTGCTGAAGCCATAGAGCAGCCATTTTGCGTTGCCCCCTTGAGACCGAAAACTTCAGTTATATTTTTCGTTCGTCGTTTGAGGGGCTCGCACTTCAATCTTTCATCAACTATGTTTTCACCAACCATTCAGCAAAGGTTAGTTTTGCATATAATCGAATATATGTTTTCTAAAGGACTATGCTTTCATTTCCTTAAAGGGTCTGACAAATATTGCATGCAAATGTTTGGGTAGCACTCGGGGAAAAAAACACCCAAAAGTGGGAATTAATAACTGCATTTTTAACTATGAAATATGAATATACTTAATGATACACTCGTACGCTTCGTATTTTGGTATTTTCACCGCGGAGACAGAAAACGTCGCGGAGAAACCGATGCACTGTCTTCAAGTCAAGCCAAGATGGCCCCCGGTGGCTTCACTTCACGATACGGCTAGTAGGTGGTAGTAGTGAGTCCATCATATAAATATATCCGGGGGTTGTCAACGATTCTTGTTCGAAAACTTCCTTACAGACCGTAGTGGAAGAGTAACAAAAAGTCATGTCCTAAACTACAAGAACGAAGAAAGTGAGTTGTGTCTTGACCGGGGTTCCAATTTTAAGGTGAGACTAAAGGGAAAGTGGTTTCCTCTGCCAGTTTAACCGGTTTTTTTGACATGATATAACCTATCGATTCGTCCATCTGTCAAGCAGTTGATTGAAAATCCTGTCTATGGAGCAAAGACTCTAATTTTACATTAAATGCCAAGACCACAAAACGAACATTTAATAAAAAGTATGATTATACAGGAACGGCTCCAGGATTTTTTCGCTCGCTGGACTATAGAGGGGCTTGCCCGATCTGAACACAGCAGCGGGGCTGAGAAAACGATTTATGTTTTATAATATCACAAATTGACCGACCCAGTGTGAAATCTGGAACTGTTTAATTGAACACAAAGCTGATGTGGTCAAAGTGGTGGCTTGTTTCTGCTGTTTTAATGGCAACATATGTTAAACCTGTCATCTGATGGAAGGATGTCTCTCGCATAAGCTCCGGTTATCCTTATTAACTAAATAATTATTAACTAACTAAATTCGGGGACGGAATGGCTCAGTGATAGAGTGGTCCCTCAACCCAGAGGTTGAGGGTTCGATCCCCTGGCCATTGCGACAATTGTCAGTGTCTTTGCGCAAGATACCCACTTGCTCCTCATGCTACGTCATCAATAAGTAAATGAGGTAATACTGTAGTGTGACGCGCTTTGAGTACCGAAGGTAGAAAAGCTCTCAAAGCGAATACCCATTTTGGACAAACAACGTGAAATTTGAGTGTGTGGCCTTCGGAATCCCTCGTGTTTGGGTGCGCACAATGCAGGCGTCTCCTCGACTCTAAAAAACATATTTATTATTCATATTGAAGCTTGGAGTAATTTTTTTCAAGAGTGCGCGTAGAGCTGACTGGGTTCAATTTACTTGAATGAGAGCCGCTGTCTCCGGATTCAGCCGGCCTGATGGTCGTGGCCCCTCCTCGTGGGAAGGGGCTCCAGGCAGCCGCGGGAGCGCTTGGACGTAAGAATGTGATGACAAATGTGCCGTGCCTTTTCTTTTTTAACTGTGCTTTTACCCTCTCTCCTGTATAGCACAATCGTGGGAACTTAATCAACAATGGATACACTCACTACAAGTTGACAAGTTCTCGCGACTTTTTACTGGACAGTCTAAAACGATTAATGTCAGTGTTGGGCATTCTTTCCCTGAGACGGAAGGTGCGGACGGACGCCCATTTTGGGGGAGTTTTTTTTTTTTTTTAAGGACAGAATTAGGGTTTCGTCTGTCCCTTTCATCCTTCCAAACCGAGTTAAGTATGTGGTTTCAGGAGTCAAAATAACAAGGCCAGAGTTCAGCCAAACACTGTATTTTCTTAACAGGGTTTTAACAGCACAACACCAGTTCGTACGGCTCACTTAGTCACCTTTACAGAACCTTCCGTTTTCATCTCAACAATATTTTTATAGCAACACTGCCCCCCAGTGTACAGTCAGAGAATAAAACAAAGTACCTTCGGACACCCATTTCACCAGAGAGCTGGCTGGTGTGTGCGTATATACGTGTGTGTGTGTGTCTGTGTGTATGTGTGTGCGCGCGCTTGTGTGTCTCGGTGCCCGCCCACCAAGATTTTTATGCACCCCAATTTGAAGCACGGATTTCTCAAAGTAAAGTTGTTATTTATATTATTTTATCATAGCAGTGATGTTTGTATTGTGAAATACTAATGTTGAGTTGCTTATCACAAAAGAAAACATAATAGAAAGGGTTCTGTCAGTCGTCATCTGTACATGTGGGTAAAAAACAAAAAACAAAAAAAACAAACAAAAAAAGGACGTTTCGCTTCTCTCACAGAGGCTTCGTCAGCGGTAGACAACCCTGAAGTCTCCGTGAAGACTCCGGGAAATTGCTCCTCGCTAAAAAGCTGAGCGTGGCCTATTTGAGGACTGGGTGGGGATGGTTAGTCACGCCCCTATGGTGAAGAGGCCCATTGATTTCTAAATTCCCTATCGTTGGGTCTTGATTAGGCCTATTGTTTGGGCTAGGGCTGAATAGCTACTTTCAGTTAGCCTGATCAGCATGTCTATGTCCCTTACTGGTCAACAAGTTATTGTAAATAGGAGACAGGTTAAATCGGATACCTCCTTCACGGTTCAGAGAGGGTGAAAATTTTTTAACAAAAATCGCTTCCTTTACTCCCCTTTCAAACCATCTCTTTTCTGTTCCTAGGATTTTTACTTGTTCATCTTCAATTGTGTGGTTTGTTTCTTTTAAGTGTGCGTATACTGCACTTTTGAGAGAAGTGAAACGTCCATTTTTGGGGTTTTTTTTGTTTGTTTTTTGTTTTTTACCCACAGGTACAGATGACGATTGACAGAACCCTTCCTACGATGGAACTTTCCTGTACGACTGAGAGCCTCCACAAGCAAAAGAAAACATAAAGAAACATTGATGTCATTTTTGTTTGATTGATGGACAGTATTATCTTCAACAGCCAATCACGGTGTTATTGAAAATAAGCTTCGGTACGCAGGCGATGTACGCGATGAATTCGTCAATGCTTGCATGCTAGAGTCCTGCATATTTTTCAAAGTGTGGCATTCTGTAATGTGGCAAGACGTCATGTGTTTTGTAATTTATGGACGACGCGTTTCTCTCGTGAAGTGACATCATCTTTGTAGTGAACGCCTCTATGAAGAGGAAAACACCCTAAAATCTCTTTACACTTGGGCAATCATTCTAATATTTGATTGGTTGATGTTAGCATCAGTTAATATGTCAACATAAGTTTTGGTGACCACTGATCACAATGTTGACACATTTGGCGACGTTTAGATTCCTATTTTACAGGTTTAGACTGTCATGTTGCGTCACTGTACACTGTGCCGTGTACTGCAAGTGAGGAAGGACATATTACATTAGTGTCGGCAACAAAAGAGGCATTTGAACTGTTAATTTCATGGGAGCCATAAAGTCTTTGGAAATCTAAATTGAATAAAAATATTATTTTCCTTTTTCTTGTCAATTCTGTAGCAGACGATTGTTGAACCGGGTCAAAGCGATATATCCGCCATATGTATGTGGCTTTAATATCAACCATAAATTCGGCAAATAACATTGTAAAACTGAGCTTGGATAATATCATTCGATTAAAAACAATTCCGTATTAATCCAGTGAGTCTTTGTTTGATGATACATCTCCAAGGAGGAAGCATATTCACAATTTGCCATATCCAATACGGCTACGGTGTTGACGTACTCAAGACGGCGTCTGTATATGTAATGTAAATTTTGTCTACGATAATACTTGCTTGCGGTTGTCGCAAAAGGCGCATTCAAGATGGGATCAGTAGTGCTAGGGGAATATGCAGAGCAAAGTAAGTGCTGTATGTAGGGTATAAATTGCCCCCGCCCCATGCATTTCATGTGGCCCCCTGGTGACGGGTAATGCTCTATCGTTAGCCTCTCTCCCACAGCGTCAGCACTGATGCTTTTTTAAAGAGGGAAGTGCGGGGCGACTGGGACAGAAGCGCTTTAAAAGGACGGGGACGGAAGACGATTGAACAGTGGCGATTGCGCTCGGACTGCAAGGGAAGCTCAGCTTCCCCTAAAATGTCAAAGAATAAGTGATCAAATATATGAATGTAAATTTCATTGTGTGTACATGTCATTGACTAAATTTGCGTGACAACGTGCTCAACTTTTGTTCCGAATCAGCTTCTTGTTACTGGTTACGACGCGACTCCCTTCTCATTCATTCCCGCAGCTTCGCTGTGCTTTAAACGGTGGACGCAGAGCGTCCGCTGAGAGTCTACTGCCCAGACGCCGAGCGTCCCGAGAGTTCAGGGTAGGTTGTCCCAATGCGTTGAACGGAGACGAGTCATTGGATACAAACTGGTTTTTGTCCCGCCCACGGACGCTCGGCGTCTCTGGGACTGGATGGCAGTGGGCGGGTACCGGACGCTCAGTTTTTCTGCATCAGATTGGATGATCTGTCTGAGCCTGTGTTCCAGTTTGCTTGACATCGAAATGAGCCAATCACCGATCTTTTAGTGGAGGCATCCGTGGGAGTACTTTCAATTCTCATTCTGTTCTAAATTGAAGTGGAGACGACTTCTAATCCTTTTAGCGACACTCTCTTTGTTGAAAACGATAAGCGACGAATTAATCTTTTATTACTGGTGGGTTTTATTGTAGTTGCTGTAGTTGTAGGACACTAGTTACTTTCCTGGAAAAGACGCCTTGTTGGTATGACAGGGTTACAGATAATTTTCTTGAAAAGGAACGGACAGTAGAATTCGCGTTTATATAAACGGACACATTTTATGATGCCAAAATTGAGCTTCCCCTCCTTGACAGACCAGCATCCGCCACTGCGATTGAACGATGACGGAAGGGTACCCAGGTCGTGGACGGAGGGTGGATCATTAAAATAGGGTAAAAAAAAGAATGTTTGAAAAACCATGACCAATCGCCACCAAAATTCACACGCACATCTCCACCTATGCCCACCTCAACCTCTGAAAATAGCGAAGCAATCACCACAATATGTTGGATTTTAAACTTTTTACTCCCCATAGTTATTTACTGTAGAGAAAAAGCTGAGTGTGGCTTATTGTTGGAAAACTGCAACCAATCGCCATCAAAGTTCATGTGCATATTTCTATTTATGCCCAAATCAATCGCGAAAAATATCAAAACAATCACTTCAATATTTTAGAGTTTATGAACATGAAGCATTTTGCATGTTAAGTGACATTAAGCTTCAGTGTCCTACGCCTATGAAGAGGAAGACAGTAATGTCCATAAAATCTCAAATATTGGTGTGATTGTTTGATATTTTCAGATATTAACGTGGGCATGGGTGGGGATGTGCACATGAATTTTGGTAGCGATTGGTTTTCTTCCATTAAGAGACATTAAGCCTTTTCTCTATACTGTAGTGAAAATGTATGAAGAGGAAATAGGTTAATGCCCATAAAATGCAAAATACAGTGGCGATTGAGTTGATATTTTCACAGGTTGAGGTGGGCATAAGTAGAGATGTGCATGTGAATGCTGATCGTGATTGGTCATCGTTTTTAGACATTAAGCCACATTTAGTTTCTTTTCATTAAGTGTTTTATACTTTCCCACTCTTTACTGAATTTTCAACATCATAGGATTTATAGCAATTAATTTGCTCTAAGGTCTTTAAACACTCTTTAAAAACAATACAAAGACATTTAAACACAAAAGGAATGGTGAGCACCAAAATAAGTTGCAAAGTTTTGTTATGTGGTCTGTTGTATTATTGTTATTTCATGTAAAACTTTCTATAAAGCGCCTTGTTACAGCTGCAGCTGTAGTGAAAGCACAACATAATAAAGTTGTATTGTATTGTATTACATTGCACTGTGTCATTACTGTTATAACATTCATGCTTGTCGGAATACAAACGGTCACAGCTCGTGATGAGTGATATTTTTCACCTCTTTTTATTTGCTTATCGTGGTAGTTTATGGGTAAATATAGCATCTGGAAAAATTTGCTATCTTAATGGGCCTCCCAATAAATTATGTAAACACTACAATACTGACTAAAATGATTTTTTTGTTATGAACCCAGTCAACTTTTATACCACCAGGCAAGTTTTCCGGGGGAAACTTATTATATCTGCCATGACATATTTATTATGTCATGCTATTAACTGCTCTGCCCCTTGACAAATGATAGCTATCAAAGCGTAGTAAAATACTTCAAAGCTTAGTGTGACTTGACTCAAGAAACATTCTCGCTGACCTCAATGTAATGTAAGTTTACTCTGTTATGTTTTTCTGGAGTGTTTTGACAACTACTACCGGTACTTAGAATTGTGTGAGTAAGGGGGCGAATGAGTGAGATTCCTGAATCTGTCATTGTAGTGTCAAATTAGGGATTCCTGGTGTGTCGTTGATATGGACCAATATCGACTGTCGCTGGGGGCCCCTCTTTGAGCCACCAGCCAAGAACAACTCATGAGAAGCTCTCTGCAGGGGATTCCCCAAGTGTCGTTGCAGTGCCTTTGTTTTATTTGCTTGAATAATGTTTCCTGTCTCTCAGGGTCCGAACCGATTGCCTGGGTTTCCAGCCATATTGCGACAGCTTTGATCACTGAGCATAATGTTGTTTGTGCCAATGCATCTGTGTTGTGAGCACATACAGTATTTCAGATCGTTTTGAGACTTTATATCAAACACAATCAGGGACTTCACTCAAATATAAGGGCATATAAATAATAATAACAATTAGGGTTGCTTGGGGAGGAAAATTCCATGTACATTTCCAATGGTATTTTCGGCTGTGATATGTCATAAGCTATCCATGCAATGGGGTTAAAAAGTATGTCGCTTCAACAGATTTATTTGCAAGTAGAACATTCAGTGATGAAGATTTTATCGAACAACCAAAACATGAATGTTGAGTTACAGTATATACTACCCATCCCTCAGCGCAACCCAGTTGACAAATAATGCACACCTCATCAAAAAAATACCAACAAAGTCCCATTCAAAATGAAAATGGGAACAGCCCCTCTCCAATCTCCATAAAGTCCTACTAATTTTGCAAATAAAAAAAGCATGATCAATTTCTGCCTTATTCCAGTTAAAGGTTCGAACTTTCATATAATTTTGCAACCCTAACAGTAACAGTTATTCTAAATATTTTTCATGGGGTAATTATATTCCAATAAAAACATGTATTTTCCATGTTTGCAGACGCAGCCACATCTTGTGTGAATAAGATGACGCAAGTCAGAAGTCAGCCATGGGGGCAGTTGCCCAGCAAGGTGGATCTGTGGACGCTCCAGTCCTCTCAAGTGAAAGTGGAGCTCCTCACACTGGGGGCGATCATTAGGTCTGTTTGTAGTAAGGGCAGAGACGGTCAGATGGAGGATGTTGTCTTGGGTTATGATGACCTGGAAGGTAAGCGGTCGGGCTATATAAGTGAGACATATTGTGTGGTTAGGGTTAGTGCATGACTGCTTTAAAATGTGTTCAAGCATGGAAGACAAACTGGATTGTATGACTTAAAAAACACACCTGTCTGCTGTTGCCAGGTTACGTGTCAGACAAGCGGTGCTTTGGAGCTGTGGTCGGCCGTGTCGCCAACAGGATTGCTCAAGGACGTTTTGTAGTCGAGGGAAAAACATACCAATTAGATATCAACAATGGACCTCATGCTCTGCATGGAGGCCTCCGTGGCTTCAATAAGGTAAGACAAAATAGAAACTACATAACTCACTCCATCAGACTTAATCAGTAATCAGATGTGCTCGGTTAAAAGACGGTTTTCTTTATTTCTATTTGTTCATTCAATTTACTTCTACCTTCTGTCCCCATGCTGTACAAAGAATTCTAAGTAACTTGAACACTAATTTTGAGATGAAGAAAAAAAAATCTAAATAAAAATGGAAGCTCTACTCAGGTCGGATCTCTATCAATTGAATCTTTTTCTTTTATTCCACATTTCCTATCTATCTAATATTTGTGAGATCAGTTATGAATTATACTCTATCTAGCTAGCTAGCTAGCTATTTATAAAATATTTTAGTATTTGGAAAATGTTATAGAATATTCATGTATTCAATTAAAATATAGTTTTGCTTCGATAAAGAACAATTTTGTTTACATAAGAACATAAGACATTTTCATTAATAATGAACAGGCATTTGGTTTCTTTTCTTTTTTTAATTAACGTTTTTATTTTTTCAAATTAACATTGTACGTAGTAGCAAACATTATTCTCTTATCTAGAAACATTTCCAGTAAAACAAACACTAATTAAAAATAAAATAACATAAAATATGAAAACATAAAAAATACAAATAAATGAAACGCAATTGAAACTTGGCAACTGTTGTATAAAAGTAAGGCATTCCAAAAATATCATTAAAAAAATCCATAAACAGCCTTTGTGTTGTGCAAAAAATTTCAGCAGCACTTCGCAATTCAAGCAGAACAGGGATTTTGTTTTGTGGCATCTAGCAAGCAAAAGCGTTTGAGCAGGATCTTGGAACATTTGAAAATTAACATGAACAAAATGCTCAGTACATATTTTCTGTTATTTCGTAAGCCCCCCAATAAAATGGTATCCAGGTATGTGCGCTTCAACTTGTTTTCCCGGGGAGACAATTAAAACCTCTGTGGCCACGGTGTCAGTATGTGTCTCATTAGAGCTCAGATGACAGATGAAAAGAGTGTAAAGGTGCTGTAAAGGTTCTGAATATTTTGCTGAATGATTTGCTCCTGATATTTAACATTTACAATGCCTCTTTAAAGGGGACTTATTGATAAGGAACTCATGTTTTTGTGGTCAATGTTATGTGTTTTGTATATAGCAAAGGCAGGTTTATTGTTTTTATGCTTATTTTTGAAACTTATGTCTTGTTGATAAAGTTGTTGCAGATTAGATTTCCTTCAATAACACAAAATCACGCCATTGTTTCTTCATCACAAAATAGTTACCAGTTTCTACAGTGGACAGCTTATCAGGTTATCAGGCTGCAGGGTCCATGAAAGGGTTAAAAAAAGTAGTTGTTTTTTTTTTTTTTAGAGCTTGTGCCCCAAGTGAGGAGGCACAAGCAACTTGGTGGGCGGGCTCCGACCCCTATGTGACTTTTATGCACTGGCATTGCTTTGTTTTGTGAATTTTTCTTTTCCGTACTTGCTCAAACCTTGCTCAGTTGTGATCATCTATCGTATGGTTCTCTGTTTAGGCAATTTGGATTGCTACAGCAGTGAAAGATGGTGTGAAATTGTGTCTTACCAGCCCAGATGGAGACCAGGGCTACCCTGGAACGTTGCTGGTCTCTGTTACCTACACACTGCAGGTAAACAACTAGACAGTGGTACGCCACAGTATCACGACAAACTGCTCTGCTCCAAAATTGAACACTTACCAGATTAAACTACAAACTGCTTCAATTTGCAAGTAGTGGTGGGAATATCTTGCTAACTGGCGGTTTGGTATGCCTGCAATTTCATTTCTAAGTAAACTGATCAACATTTATGTGCAAAGAAAGGTCCAGCGATTGAAGCACATTTTGATGTCGCTGAATCCAAAAATGACAAACTCGTGTGTTTCTAAAGTGGCTCTAGTTTAGATAATTCATATTTTTGTCTTAAAAAAAGTGCTAATTATACGCAAGTTATGACATTGGTATTTTCTTTCAGCTGCAACTTTGATGACATACTTTTCCTTTAAGCATGCTCTTACATTATTCTTTCATTTTGGATGAAATATCATGGAAGATGGCAATCGTTATCGCAGCGACCCTTTCATATGCAAAATATGCATATTATGCAAATATGTGAAAATCAAGGAAAAATTGAGAAAATTATATTTGTTTCATGTTGTCTTTCATGTGTGATTATGTTCTTCAACTTGAATTATATAGATCAGGCATGTCCATCTCCGGTCCTCGCGGGCCGATGTCTTGCCTGTTTTCCATCCATGTCTGCGCGCACACACACACACACACACACACACACACACACACACACACACACACACACACACACACACACACACACACACACACACACACACACACACACAAAGATTCCATTTTATACCTCAATCAAATTGTTCATGCAATAGTTCACAATAAAGGTGGCAGTGGTGGGGAGGTGACAACTTAAAAAAAAACTGGCATTTCAAATGTGTGTGTGTGTGTGTGTGTGTGTGCGTGTGTGTGTGTGTGTGTGTGTGTGCGTGTGTGTGTGTGTGTGTGTGTGTGCGTGTGTGTGTGTGTGTGTGTGTGTGCGTGTGTGTGTGTGTGTGTGTGTGTGTAGACTTCTAAAATCAAATGATTTTTTTTTTTTTAATCAATGCTGACCCGACTAGGATTTCAGGCCAACAAGAGGGTAAATGTATTCGTTGAGTTTAAAACCACAATTTTCAATACTTAAACTGATTTGTGTCCCTAAATGTTGAATAATTTTTCACTATTTTTGTATTCTGTACAGGGGGAAACACTAACTGCAGAGTATCAAGCCCAGTCTTCTAAAACAACGCCAATCAATCTCACCAACCACTCCTATTTCAACCTTGCTGGAAAGGTAAAAAAACATGTTAGAGGACCTATTTTAAATCTAAAAACTGATTGTTACAAATAATTCCGCAAACGAGCTGAAAAGAGTTCATTGATAATTAATTGACTTGTATGTTCGACAATAAGTAAATTGCAGATGCTCTAGTGACGTAGTGCTCAAGCATTCCTAGTGGAAGCTAGCGGACAAGACAGACATCAGCCAAAAGCTAACAATTTGACGCTAACCCCGACCCCCGCCAGCCATAATAGATTCATATCAGCAGCAAGGAACAATACAATACAATACATATTTAATTATATAGTATAGACTTTTCAGTAGCAGTAAATAGATGCTAATTCTTGAAGTCTAATTTGTTTTCCAGTGTTTAAAGAGTGTTGTTTTGTTAAACTAGGTTTCAATACTTGTGGAACAAAAATATAACCACATGAAAACTTAAAGCGCAGTTTCATTGTACTGATTGTTGAAAGTTAGTCATCTACGCCGCGAGAGTGGCTGCCTTTCCAGCAGCTCCTATATTTTGTTGTTCTACTTCTTCCTTTCATAACTTTGCTGCTGTGAATTGGTGCTGTGAATTGGGAATTTCTCCATTGCGAGACTAATAAAGGTTTTCTTATCTTATTCCTCTCTTTTGTCCATGCTGTAGTGGGAGTAAAAAAAAGATGAGGACCAAACCATTGCAGGGTTTCCAATGAAATTCTGCGTTGCTGGATATAACCAGATTAATCATCTTAATACTTGGATGGAAAGCATTTGCAATGGCAGCCTGAACTTTGGAGCCCATGGACTTCACCAAATTGTGAATTTTCAAGTTATATTTTGTGTGTTTGTGCAGGCTGCAGATAATATCTACGACCATGAAGTGTCCATCATTGCTCATTCTTACTTGCCAGTGGATGGCACATCTATTCCCACAGGTAAAACCATTTAATAGTTGTCTGTAAAATGCAACCCAAAATTTCTTGCAGATTATAGCAGATAAGAAAATGATCACGCTCAATAGTTACTTGTAGTTGATCTAAACTTTATTTTGCTTGACTCAGACCGCGAGTTACACCCTGGATGAGCAAGGCTCAACAAATAAATTGAGTATAAAACAGGGATGGGCAACTGGCAGCGGCTCTTCATGGCCCCTCAATTAGTTAACACCAAAACAAAGGACAATTATAAACTCTACCTCATCTGCATCTGCAGAGTCGCCATTCCCAGACTTTTTTTAATTTTAATTTGAAAATGGGGGCAACCCTCCATTTTCATGGTAATTGCATATTCAAGGTTTCTCCCCATTTTTAAAGATTTTTTTGGTCTTAAAATCACTCCCTAATAGCAGGGGTTCACTGTATTATTTTGAAGCGTAATATCTCTATTCACCACTAGATGGCAGACATCGTTTAGCTGCGCTTACACTTGGTCAAACAGTAAACCTATATATATATATA